CATGATCTTTTTCAGATGAATTGCTATCTAGATATATCACCCCCTTGTGATATTGAAAGTTTTTAAGGGGAAAAAAAACTTGTTTAAAACTGATAAATACTTATGTGAGTGGCACATAAGGATGTAAGTGATTGACTAGTGGTCCCTCTAGTCCCCTGCTCTGTCTCTGGCCATGAGTGTGAAAATTTTCTTCCATTGTGTTGATTTCACAGTTTCTTCCCTTCCCTTGCTTGTTACTCACAGGTTTTTCTAGCTGTTTAGAGCAGCTCTGTTGCTCTTACTTACAATTCTCTCTTCTTTGCCATCTTATACTACTTTTTTTCCTATCATGTCACAATCATATTAAACAACCTGGGTACTCTCCCGTCTTCAATGATTTCAACACTGAATTCAGTCTTCATTTCAATTTAGATTTGTAACTTGACTTACTTGACTCACAAGTTTGTAGATCAATAGATTTATTTTTAAAACCATCAGCAAAGAGCTTTTCGAGAAACATTTTATTTTTCTGATCTAATTAATGCTCATCAAATTAAGACAACATTTACTGTTCAGTCCAATCATTGAATATTACTTTGAATGTTTTCTCTTTTTATGGCTCATAACTAATTTTCATGTGTGGACTACTACAGGTTTATATCCGTTCTGTAATTATATGGAAATATTGACAGTCAATTGGTGTGGTGTTATTTTGAAAAATGAAATGTTAGAGAAGGGGTGATTAAGTGTTTATATTATGAACTGTGGATGAAATGTGATTTGCTTTTATTTTAAAATTTAAACTTTGCTAACTAAGCTTTCTTTTTACTTTTAGCACTCTTTAGGGGGAAAATGATTAGTTATTACCTTAACTTTCTCTAAATTCATCATACTTTTTTAAATGGGAAAAGAACATGCTTTCAAGGAGGGGAACGCTCAAAAATCCCCTTACCTGGGGTTGCAGATCAAGTAACATAAAATTGTATTCAGTATACCATATGTGAAAAGTAGTTAAGTCTTTTCAATCCTGATAAGTTATCAGCTGGTTGGCACCTTGAACAGCTATCAAGAATATGCCATAACAAACTGTTAAGACAGAACTATTTCTGTGTTCATTGGTTTTTAGGCAAGACACAAGTGGTGGTCAATATAGTTTGAAAAAAAAAGTCCCAATTTAAATTTCAATTTATTCTTATAGATAATAAGGAATACCATGCAATCTGTAATCTCCTTCTCTCTAATAATTTGAAAATAGGAAATTTGTAACTAGCCTCTCATTTGGGTTAATTGTTTTTTCCTGTTAATTCTTCTGATCTTTAGCAAAGGAGAGGACAATTTAAGTACTGAGGGCAGTAGGCTTAAACTTAAACAGTAAAAATGACTTAATGAAAGCAGCTTACTTTCTTACTCAGAAAAAATTACTCTGATATAGGGTTACTTCCTGAAAATTTTAAGAAGCTAAATTAGTTGAGAATAAGTATTTGAGCTTTAAATAAATTATTATTTTCTAATATATGTCATTTGTAGTAACTGTTGGCTCCAGAAAGTGAAATGTTTCTCTTTCATGAACCATTTTTAACTTCATTCCTGCCATAAGTGTCATAAAGTTAAAAGGCATAGGGATGGTATCATATTTTAAAAAATAAATTCTAATATATAGCTACCTGGAAAGAAATTATTCTTTTTCAGAAAAAGAAAAACTGAGGGAAGTGGGGCAGAGAACCCTTTATCACCTTCATGAACTTCTGGAAACAGAACCTTTATTTGATTATTATGACCTCTCTCAAATATGTACATCACCACCGTCGTCACCTTTTTGTGTGCTTATTACTTTATTAGTTATGCATTTTTTTCTCCACAAACATAAACCAGATTCTTTCCTGTTCTCCAGAAGATAGAGGAGTCGAGAGGCAAGAAGCAAGAAAAGTCATAGGCAGTGGGGGGCATGTTGCAGAAAAAATATGTGTCAGAAATTTTAAGCTCTTCTAAGCTGTATTTATACAGTATCAAAATTGAGCTAAACAGTGATAGATTGCTTCGTCAGGAAACTTTTACCTATCATGTTTACAGTTACATTAAGACAGCTTGCAGACATTCTTTCCCAGGAACTTAGTGGTATGTTCTAAGTGCATGTAGCCTTTTGAGCCATTTCTTAGAATTTGAGGGCCTGCTGGAGAAAGATAAAGCATTTGGAAGCCTTTCTTGTTATAGGAATTTATAGCAAAATAATCATGTTTTTAAAATGTCATTTTTTTTAAAAGAGAAAAATATGTTGGGATGACTATTTACAGTAACAATTTCAGGTATTTTATTGGATATTTTTAATTTCTTAGAAGAAATTAAGTATGAAACTTTAGTTTATGTTACCATAGCAAAGATCCAAGGACCAAGCAATAAAGTTCCACATGCTTTATTTTCCTGATGTGTTTTTTCTTGTGGAATCTCTTGGCCTTTTTTGGGTATCCTTTTAAAATGTTTCAAAATGCCTGTCACCTATTAGAATTAATGATATCATTTTGCCATTTTTTTGATCAAATTTCATTTTTATTTGTGGCCAGCGCAGATTAATTTTGATATTTGTGTTCTGGATATGTTTACTATAAAAATACATTTCATCTTTGATTTAGTAATTGAAGAGATCAGGAATAAAATGGCAAGGCCAGGGTGGGGGAATTCACTACCCAAGAGTAATCCTTTACATTCTGGAAAGGCAACATTTCCTGTCCTCACAGAATTTGAGAATTCAAAAGGGCTTTAGCACCCATTCTTTGTGTCCTATTGTTACATACCAGACAAATGGTTATCCAGCCTCTGCTTAAAGACTTCCAATGAGGAGGAACCTAACACTTTTTAGAAGCAGCCTAAGTCTTAATTGTTGGGAAGTTTTGGTTTGGCCCTCTGGTAAAACAGAACAAATTCTGCAAATGACAGCTATCATGCTCCCTGTGAGTCTTCTCTTTTCCAGGCTAAACATCCCCAGTTCCTTAAATTAGTCTTCATATGGTTTAGATGGACTCAAGGATCATTACCAGCCTTGTTGTCCCCTTATAGTAGATACTGTAGTTTAACGTCCTTAAACTGTGACTTCCATAATTGGACGCAGATAAGTCTGATGATTGCAGAGTATAGTGGGGCTGTCATCTCCCTGTTCCTGGAAGCTGTGCTACTCTGAATGCAGCCCAAGGTTGAATTAACTTTTTTGGTCACCACATGATATTGCTGACTTACATTGAGCACACAGTCCACCAAAACCCTCAGATGTTTTTCAGAACAACTGCTGCCTAACCGTGCCTCCCCCATTTTGTACTTGTGAAGTTGAATTTTTGTACCCATGTGCAAGATTTTACATTTCTCTTGATTCTCTTGATAACCTAAGGTTAGGGTAGTTTTGGATCCTGGTTCTGTTGTCCATTGTGTCACCTATCCATTCTAACTCTGAGTCATCTGCGGATTTGGTGAGAATGTCATATACGCCTTTCTCCACGTCATTAATAAACTGTTAAACATCGTTGGGGAAATCACAGATTTCTAGCACACCTCACTGGAGACCTGCCGTCACACTGACATTGAACCATGAACAGCTGCTCTTTGAACCTAGTCATCCAACAGGTTCTGAACTCATCTGATTGTTGTCTCATGTATTCTCTCCATGAGAGGACTATGAATTACCTCATTAAAGTCTTTCTCTACTTATGCGTAGTATTCCCCTCATTTACTAGTTTAGTGATCCTGGCAAAACAGGAAGTACAGCTACTCCAGCATTATCTCTTCACTTTAAAGTTATCCTTTTAATAATCCTTTCTAAAATTTTCTCAGAAATTGAAGTCTAGTTAATGGTGAACTGACAGTTTGCAGATACTATTCCCCTACCCCCCCTTATTCAGAATCAGGACATTTGCTATTCTCCAGTCTTGTACCCTCTCCCATTTTCTGTATTCTTTCAGATGTTACTTCCAGTAGCTCAGCGATCACATGTGTCCATCCTTTCATTCTCAAGGATGTAGTTCATATGAAACAGGTGACTCTTAATCGCATTATGGGTAGCTAGGTGCTGTCTTAGTGTCTTTTTCTTTTTATTTATCTTGTCAACTACCAGCTAGTTATTTGTGTTCTGTTATTTCCATCAAGTCCATGATAGAATTTACCTTTTTTTGGTTCCTCCAATTTCATGAATGAAATTATTGCCATAAAACCAAATTAGGAAGTTATTAGCTGTTCTGCTTGGGGGAAAAAAAGGTCGGGGGAGCTACACCAAATGTTTGAATAATTGGCAGGCTTGTATTCTGCTTCCCAGATTTTCATTATTTCCTCTTAAGTCCAGGCAACCTGTAGTTTATTTCAGTGGTCAGTCACTTCTGTTTCTAGTTTAAGAATAAACTTCTGGATTAGTCATTGTCTACATCAATGATGTTATTGATCTGCCATCATGTGGATAGGTGCTTTGAGTTGTTTTTTCACCATTGGCAAAAGCCATCCTCATACTATGTGGAATCTCTTGTGAATGAATTGATTGGATACAGTTAGAGCTATGGAAGTGAATTTTTCTCTCTCTGAAGTTAATTGAGCATGGGATTCAAACCTAAACTTCATTAACAACATGCTGTGACCAGTTACACTAACTGGCCCTGAGTGAAATAGAACATCATGAGAAATTTAACCTTGGGGCTTTAGACTTGAAGAATATTGGAATTGGCAGAGATGTTAGAGGGCATTTTTGTCAAATCACCTCTTTTTATAAATAAGGAAACAGAAAGAGAAGTGACTTGTTGAAAGTCGTATTACCCTATGTTATTTTTCAGCCAATGTTAAGAAACACTTATTTTCTAAATGAATCGTGTGAGATTTTATTACTATTCAAACCCAGACTGGCAGATATAACCTTTATAAACCTGGTTTCTCAGAATAGATGTGGGCTGTATGTTTCAGGTCTCTGTGAAGTAAGGGTTGTATAAGGAGGTGTAGGGAAAAAATCTTATCTTTCCAAAAGATTAATATTTATCTTTATTTCCTTTTCATCATAGGCATTAAAGACTATTCCAACTGGCCAACCATACCTCAGGTGTACCTTAATGGTGAATTTGTTGGTGGTTGTGATATCCTCCTCCAGATGCATCAAAATGGAGATCTAGTGGAAGAACTGAAAAAGTTGGGAATTCGATCAGCACTTTTAGATACAGAGACTGATCAAGACTCAAAATAAAAAGCCTGCAAGAATCCTCTTTAAGAAGAGTGCTCTGTGACTGGAAGTAAAATCTTTTTAGTGTCAAAGACTAGTTACCAGAACAGCCTTACTGGTTTTTGTTCTCACTTTTTTAGGAAGGCAGCTCTTTGTACTGACACTAAACAGTATTGAAGTGATTTTAGTTTCTGTCTGGTGTTTTAGGCTAAGGATATTCTGTTGTGAATTTAATTATAACAACCGTACTGTAATAATTGAATATTATGTTTTGAGACAGATATAAAAAAATCATTCTTTTATTGTCTTATACTCTTTGCTCATTGCAAGAGTAAACCAAAAGATTTTGAGTCATCCTAGTCAATTATCATCATTATTATTGATTTCTAAGTATGTGTCACTCTATAAAATCCAAAGGAAACATATGTAGCCCTTTTAAGGAAAATGATGGACAAGGTAAACAATGATGACTGCTGGTTTTGTTTTGGTTTTTTTATAAGAAATAAAAGAAACTGCCAACCTATGTAAAAGGTTCTTTTTGGTGAAGCTTTCACATCTTTTTGTTTATTGTGTATTGTACTTTGATGTTAATAGTAAAAGTAAATGGACCATTTATAATGTCCACATTGAATGAATTGTACTTCCTGAGTAGAAATACCAGTTGAAAGTATTACTGTTGCCCATAACCTTTAATATTTTCATTGATTCATAAAAATACAGTTTTAAGGTTCACAAAACACACTTATGTATTTTATCTTATTTGTTCCTTGTAATAATCTTTTGAGCTTTAGGTACTACAGTTATCATTAGGTACATGTTAGAGGTGAGGAAATAGAGTCAGGAATTGTGACTTACCTATGGTCACATAGCTAGTAAGTGTCATAGGTTGGATTCAGACCCAGGTCTTAACTTGATTCTATATCCAGTATTATTTTCACTATACCACACTACTTCTCAATGTTTTCTCTTGCTGTTAGTTTTTTAAAAAAAATATAAATACTATACTTGCGAATAGTGATTTCTCTCCTGGAACAAGGTAAAAAATCTCATTATTGGTGTTGATAAGTGTTGGAAATCCTGAGCGTTTTTAGCCATTTCCTCGGGGTTAAACATGGTGTTGGGCTGAACAATACAAAATCCATGATCAAAGTTTATTAGATTAGTCAAAGACTCATTCATGTATTTGTAAATCATTAATCTGTAACATTGAAGTTAGAATAAAAAGGTCAATGACAATCAATAGGCCTACTTTAAACAATTCTCCATTCTAAAGCCATGAAACCATATAGTCTAAAGATAACCTTTTAGTCTTCTCTAAGAAATTAATTAGAATTTATCATATTAAGTAGTTCAGTTGACCTAGAAAAGCACATTTATAGCTATATGTGGGTCATGAAAAATTACTCATTATTGCCCATATAACTTAAGTGGGAAAAATCTATTTGAAGTGCAAAAATTTGTAATGGAAATGGAGAAAGGAACTGTGCAGTTATTTGGTTTGTTTTGTTTTAAATAATCCTCCACAAATCATTTAACCTCTCAGTGCTCTAGGCAACTCTTAAGATCTTAAGTTGCAGAGAAGGTGCCAACTTGCATTGGTAGAGGGTTTTTACTCATTTGAGAGTTCTGTATACTAATGAAATCACATGTCTAGACTTTATTTCTATCTCTTAAATCACAAAGTAAACATAAAATACTGGGAGAAAGACCTATTTGAATGAAAAAGAATTCTGAAATGAATTCCAGAAGTAAATCAAGTAATTTAAGAAGAATTTGGGAATGAGGAACAAGCAATATTGTGGAAGTGCCCAACCAGCAAGTAAACCAGTGAACTTTCAGATCTCTTAGCTGGTTTGGGAACTTACATAGGGTTCCACAGGGGAGAAAATGTGACTAGCAGTTCAGTGCTGAATATAGAAGGACTTCATTTGGCAAATTCCAATCACAAAAGAAAACTATGTACCATAATTTGACCAAGGAGAGGAGCATAGAATAGATGGATAACAGGAGAGATAGTTGGGCCCTAACCTTTACTACCAAAAGGGGAATGGAAAGAAAAGGATACAGTCAGGAACACAAAATCTTAAGGCTGTGGCAGGAATCACTTCAAAATGGGCCTGCAAGAGGCTGCCGCCTTCTTGATTTGATGAACCCTTACACCAAGTTCCTACTCTACACACCCAAGTTGGATGGACTTCTAAGTCCTCTGCCACTTTGTATATGAGGTCAGCTCAGGGATGCAGAAAAGCGCTAAGAGTTTCATAGGAACAGATGCGGTTTTATCCGATTGGCCCAGAAGTTGGACATTTCCAGTATGGAAAGTCCAAGGCGTGGAAGATTCTATTTTTCTTTTTTGTCTTTCTTTGGTGAGGCAGTGGGGGTTAAGTGACTTGCCCAGGGTCACACAGCTAGTAAATGTTAAGTGTCTGAGTCTGGATTTGAACTCAGGTCCTCCTGACTCCAAGGCCAGAACTCTATTCACTGTGCCACCTAGCTGCCCTCTAGTGGAAGATTCTAGAAAGAGAAAGGGGTAGCATCTAGGGAAAAGGGCATATGTAGAGTAGAGAATGCTTGTCTCAAAATAAGACTAAGCCAGAGAACCAGAGGCTGCTGTAGCTTATTTTCAGTTTGATGGAAATTTCAGTGTGGAAAGTGAAGGCCCAACCTTCTTGACCTCAGGGCTTCAGTTAAATAGAAAGCACCTCTTCACCAAAAAAAGTTGGAGACCTTTGATTTATATAGTATATTCCAATGAAAGTTTGCGTGTGCCTAAGGTAGAGCTTTATATCTTAGGATATTAGTACAACTTCTACATATTTTATGTCAGATGCTGTGGAAGGAGCATTGGGACAGGAAGCAAAAAAGCCTGAGTTCGAGGTCAAAGCTCTTAATTAATTAAATAGCTGTATTACTTTGGGCAGATCCCTCTCTGTGGATTTCAGATTCCTTTGTAAAATGAGTGCATTAGACTAGACTGTCTCCGAGTTCCCCTCTAGATCTAATATTCTATAGTTCTGTCAAGGAAGGTTGGCCAAAAGAACAGTTTGATTAAGAAAATCTTGCAACATACTGAGATTGCATCACTACACTAGGGAACTTAAAAATTCCAAGAATAACAGGAAAGAGGGGAAAAAAAAGCAAAACTTGCTTTAATATTCAGATTCCCAGGGTCCTTTTATAGACCATTTAAAGCATCAAAGTAGAAAATGGTTTAGATATTATCTAAAGTAAGCCTGAATAAGTTCTACATGATTACAATTCATTGGGATAATTAGAACACTGTAATGTACAAACAGTGTTTTCGCATCAGAATCCAACATAAAAGGCATTTTTTCTACTTCACAAGTTTAATAGAGTTCTTTATCTAAATCTTAATCTAAAAAGCTGGGTTGGGATACTTATTCCTCTGAAAAAACAGTGCCATTTAGGTTTCCTTTTCCTGTCATTGACTGCTCACTGTCATATGACATCAGTAAAGGAAATTTACAGAAAGACTGCAGAAAGCTGGTGACTAACCCACAAAACATTAGGTTGATCTAAGCCCAGTGCAGAGAATATCTTGATGTTTTAATTAAATAGTTCCAGGGTTTCCACTCCCACCTTTATTAATGTTATCACTGAAGGCCCAGACACCTGAATTGAATCAATCAGCAGGGTAATCAAAAAGTGTTACAGAGGTTTTAAGGAGTTTTCCTATAACCTCACCGTAATGTGTAAACAAATTATTAATAAATGATTTGAGAAGTTTATTGGGTTTTAGCATTGGCTAAAGGCAGATGCCATACAGAAATACTCTTAGGCCTTTGTATAAAAATGATAGTCAGTCCAGCATGGAGGCTGTCAAATAGTGGTCTAACGTAGAAGTGGAAGACTCTAAATTAGGTGGTTGGGGATTCTAGGAAAGAGGGAGAGAATAAATATTTATATAGTGCCTACTACGTACCAGGCAGTATGCTAAGCTCTTTACATGTATCTCATTAGATCCTCACAACTCTGAGGAAGGTGCTGTTATATTTTACAGTTGAGGAAATTGAGGTGAACAGATTAAGTGACTTGCCTAGGGTCACAGCTGTTGAGCGTCTGAGGCCAGATTAGAACTAAGGTCTTCCTGATTCTAGTCTCAGCTCTATCCATGGTGTCACCAAGCTCCCTAGAGTCAGAACCAGTTCTCTGAGGGGAATCACTTTTGGGAGATGAAAGATTCTGGAGAAACTGAACCGGTAGGAGACAACACATCCTGCCAGGAGCAGAGTGACACATAACATGGCACCAGGGGGACAACAAATAGTGCTGAAAAATTACTGCAGGAAGGAGATAGCTCTGAGGACTTCTAGGTCATCAAAGTGCCAGGAGATTTTAGTAGTCACAGGGGTATCCTGCACATGTGCCATACTGCCGTTATACCATGGCCACTGTTTTCAGGGACTTTTATGTATTTTTTTTGTGGAAGACTGTGCCCCAAGAATGATTGTACCAATTATTCTTAATTTCACCTTAGTGAATTATTTCGCTAAAAGCCATTTAAGGCTGATTGTTAAGGGGAAACACAATGTTGAGGGCTCATGAGTGAGGACTAGAAGCCCAGTGCTTCAGGGATACTCACCTGTACGACCTGGAGGGTAGGAGTAGTTAGCCCTCTAGAGATCCCACCCTTCCAGTGTGAGTTGGGTAAGGGAGCCCTAGATGGGATGCTACATTGGTAGATACATAGGGTCAATTTACTAGTTTGTTTTAAAAATTCTGGTCAGATAGAAATAAACTGTAGGCAGTTAAGGCAGAATGGTTTGGTGCAATGTTGGGCAAAAGCAATTACTCTGCTGATTTAGAGTTAGATATTTTCCGCCCTTGCTTCTAATTATGGACAAGATAAAATTCATATTCCTTTCCCTGGAATTCCTAGTATGGCTTATTCTGGCTCCAACCCTATTGTTCTTTAATTTTATTTTTTATTATAAACTTCACAATCATCAACAAATACATAGAAAAAACAACTGTGAATTCCTTCGGGACTCTTGATCAAAGTAGTTTTCAGTAGTGACTTCATCACATTCATGAAACCAATCTTTCTTTCCAAACATTTCTTATTACTCTCCAGCATAAACTCTCTACTATATCTAGGATGCTTTCCTCATAATATTCCTCTAACATACCTTGACCATTTCATAGGATCACTGTATTTAGAGTTGGTGGAAACTTGGGGGGTCAACTAGTTCCTTTGTTTTATCTTTTAGGCTCACGAAATTTGTTTTATAAATCAAAACATTTCTTACAGAAGAGCATTATGTTCTGCTGCTCTGAATGGATACCAGGGATACATGGACTGTAAATACTCTTTCTTGCCTCTCCATCCCTTCTCCTTACCCCCCATTCCCGGGACTGAAATTATAGTGGACACAAAGCAAGATGTTTCCAAAGATAGGAATCTTTTTTTCTACCACCAACAATGAACAAAAAGTAAAATTCATTCTGCTGCTGTTTTAAAATTTCAATGTTAGTTTTGCCTGCACCCCTCCTCCAGTTTCTAATGAACTAAAACATTACATTATGTGAACATCAAAAATAGAAGCAAGATTTTTAAAAAGATGCATGACTCCTTCAGTTCTTCACTAGTCTTAGAAAAACTTTCCAGAATACTGCTTTACATTATTCTGTAGTAAACAGTGTGCATTCTGTATCTGATCCTGTATTTTTTTTTAGAAAAACATTTCCACATTAGTCATGTTGTGAAAGAAGAATTAG